TTCTTTGCCCTTTGCTGTCTGTTTCATGAGTCTACAGTTCAGTTGGGATATGACTTCTGGGGGGAGATTTTGTTGTCGGCTTAAATCTCTTTCGGCGGTAAGGGCAGTGGACTCGGGGGAAAGAGAGGGAGTGAAGTGGCGAATACGGCCAGCGGGGATTGGTGGCGTGCTGCCCTGAGCACCAGGTCCCTCAAGAATTTCTCTCCGGCGGCAACTCCGGAAGGTGGAACCGCTGAAAAGAAACCCTCCTCAATTTCCTCTGTGAATTTGATCCAATCTGCTTTTAAAAAATTTATAGAAGTCCTTTTAGGTGAAAAATTTATAAAATCATCCAAGGGTAGTTCTAGAAGAATGGGTAGGTGATCTGATCTTAGAGATTTAATTGGGGTCCATGATGTGGAGAGTAAGAGCGATTGGGATGCGAGGGAAATATCTGGTGACGAGAGTTGGTTTTCTGAGTTAAAAGGGACTCTGGTTTGTGTGTCATCATTTAATGGTGCAAAGGTGGATTCGGTTATTTCATTGCTAAGTACAGAGCCGCGTTGATCTTCCTCGATGTTGGAGTTCCATAGTTGTGAATGTGCGTTGGCATCCTCGAGTACTAAGGCGTCCCCAGGTTCAAGTAGTTCGGCAAGGGACGCAGAGTAACCAGGGGGACAGCTCGAGCGAGGGGGGATGTAGAAATTATAAATACGAAGCTTGGATGAACTGGCTACCACTGATATGCCCATAGCCTCTACTGTTCCATCGTTGTTAATATTTATTTCTTCGTATTGTATCGACTCATGTATGGCTATGAGAAGACCGCCCCCTTCTTTTTCTCGATCTTTTCTAATTAAAGTGTAGTGTGAGCCAAGTGAGGGGTTTCGAGATTTCTTTCTTAATTTAGTTTCTTGGAAGACAGCAATATGAATTTGATTTTGAGATAAGAAAGCAGCAATTTCGGGTGCTTTTCCGGAGATACCGTTGCAATTAAATTGAAGGATTTTTAAAAGGCCTTTGGCGGGGTGTGGTGAACTATTTACATTATTAACAGCAGTATGATTAAAATGGTTGTTTGAACTTGAGTTATTTACACTATTTACACGATTACGATTTGCGCGATTTTGGGAGGAGGAATTATTATTCGAGGAGGTGGGAAGGGTGGGAGGGGGAGGGGGGTTAGGGAGGTGGGGTTGGGGGGCGGTTAGGGAAGTTGAACAAGTTTGGGAGTTGGGGGTGGTCAAGTTAGAGGACCTGGTGCCTGGGGGAGGTAAAATGTAGGTAGAGGTACAGGTAGGGCAATAGTAGTCAGGGTGGTGTTGGTTAAGGTGGGTAAGACCACTACATTTAAGGTGAATGTAACCACAGATGTGGCACCAGACACTGGGTTGGGTGCGTTTGATGCGGAAAGAGCAAGGGGAGCAAAAGTAAGGCCCTGGACCAGGGTTTGGATTAATGCCGGAGCGGAGTAGTAGTATAAGGATGAGCAGACGGAGCAGCCTGGCCGGCTTCAGACGCTCCGTAACCGAAAACCCGGAGACTTCTGAGCTTCTCCCGACCCAATGGGAGGGGGGGCTTGACGCCATTTGCATCTTGGTGGGGCCCAAGATGTCGGATCCACCACTGGAAGGCGGCGTCGTCTGGATCCCTACGCGCCGCTTGTGCATTAATCAGATAAATGAGATGTAATTACAAGTAAGATGTAATGCTGGCACAAGGGATAATTTCAGACCAAACCGTCATTTTGAACTCGTATTTTCAACAATGAATTTAAAAAGCACAAAAACAAATATTCACAAGCTTTACCACAGAGGCGAAGATGCTTTTCGCACCATTTTCGATACAAAAAAAACGTGATTAAAATCAAATGAAAAGAAAAATCAAAAACTGAAAAAACCTTCGAAAATAGTGTTTGTCCTAAAAATTGCAAAAAAAGCCCAAAAGTTCCACAAAAAAATTATCTGCACCATAGAAAACTTTACAAGGAGCTTTCGAAATGCGGAAAATAAGCCGAATGTGAAAAAAAGTCCTTCTGTGGGAACTGAGCCGGCAAAAATAAGCACAGACAAAATCTAAATTAGCAAAAAAAAAATTCAGTTTGAAAATAAAACAAGTCCCCACTGGAATCGAGCTGCCGGGCTTAGTTGTCAAGTATGGTTGTTACAGTTAATTAGAAAAAAGCTGAAATAAACAAACGGAAGATCGTCCCAAAAAGCACAAAAACGAAAAAGTTAGCACAAAAACGGCCCCGGTCGGATTCGAGACACTGCCGTTTCAAGCAGATGTGTTACCTCTACACAAGATGCACCAGAGCGGTTGATTGAATTTGACGTTATAATAAAGGAAGCATATGAGGGAGTCAAGGCTCCAGGAGATGAGTCCTGTGAACAAGTTATTTCAAGGGAGAAAAAAAGTCTAGTAACCGATTGCAATGCCCTTGCTCATCGCAAGGGTAATAAGAGCAGGGGCTGATCTAGGATTTTCTCAAAATAATTATATATTGGCACCAAAGGCGGCTTTGAAAAAATTTAGGGTCCGTTAGCGAAAAACGGATAACTCAATTTAGTACAAAGGGGGAACTTTTGGGTTGCCAGGGGGTCGAATCGGTGAGGAAGGGAGAGCGGAGTGGGGGGGGGGGGGGGTTAGGGGGCGTCCGCTGACAACCCTCCCCCCCTTAATCCGCCTCTGAATAAGAGTACACTAATTATAAACACAGAGGCGAAGTTGCACTTCGCATACACAAGCAACCGGGAAAAACTGACCGATAACGCTACCTGGAAAAACTGAATGAGTAAAACATTGATTGAATTTGATTTCTCAAGTCACGCACGCCAATTATGACGCATAAGCAGTACCAGTCAATTTAAAAAAAAACTAACCCCCTCAATTTATAGCGCAGTTTAAGGAGCAGTAATAACATGAAAAAACTAAATGTAATAAAAATAAAATGAATTTTTTTAATTTGACTTTTTTTGTGAAAATGATCCCCCCGTCATTTAAAGTGCAAAGTGAGAATTTTCGCTCCTACTCACAATCAATTATGGCAAATAAGCTTCTTTCAACCAATTTCGAACAATTTTTAGGACGGATTAAATCTGGGCTTACGCGATAATAGCGCGAAATATATCGCGCGTTAATTGTTTCCAAATTGGCCACAATCGAAACATTTAAACACCCATAATTTTACGAAGATCACAGGTGAAATATCTTTTTAAATTTAAGCTCACGACAAAAAGACCTTTTGAACGATATAAAAAATCCCGTCAAAAACGGCTAGTTTAAAAGTCGAAATTTGCCTGAAGAAAAAAACCACCCCGAGCACAAATATTCCGTTACGAAAGTCGGAACAATAATAGTATGTGTTAATATCCTTAGCATTGGCTGTACTTAATAACTGGTTATTGATCAAAATGAACACATTTTATCGTAACAATATTTGCGACTTAGGTTGGAAAAAAAATAGATAGTTCATGCTATAACACAAGCTTTGCTTGTGTAATTAGGCATAAACAACAACAAAAAATCAATTTACTCGAAATCTTTTTGTGATCACCTTTTTTTAAATAATTAATCCGAGGTGGCCGTTAATTAAAGCAAAAGAATGCTCTCAAACCACATTGAAAAAGCATGATCTAATCCAAACTGCCCGTGTTCTACTCTATGTCAGAGAAAGTTTCCACTTCCTATTTGTAATAAAGAACAATTCCCTTCCTTGTCAAATAGATGAATGTACCACTGCTTTTCCAATACCAAAAAAGAAGTAGATTTTGAGCGTAAAAATTTCTGAACCGAGCTGAATATACTTCACAGAAAAAAATCGCGTTTGTTAATATTTAAACGTTTCCGGATGGCTTCGTAACACATCAAAGTTAAAGAACAGCGTGAAACTCATTACCGTTCGTACTCGCTGTACAGAAACAAAACAGAAAAAAGAATATTTTTGTTTCAATTAACATATTGCATCCTTAGTTAAACATTGCTATGACTAAGTTTCGTATATAAAATATTATCCTTAATCATGGCTCTTTTTCACAATTCCCCCTCCCCCTTTGGTACCTAGCAACAAATTGCCATTCAAAAGTCGAAAAAAAAGATAGAATTTCAGCTTACAACCTTATTTAAGTTGAAACGCATTTAAGCAACGAAGTTTACAAGCATTAGGAAGAGTATGTTTTTGCTCTTTCACGACAAGGCATGAATGAAAAATGAAATATTAGAACGCATGAATGAAAAAAGAAATCATTTGCATAGTTTCGCGCACTTTTCCGGGCTCTTTCACAATTTTCTGGCATCTTTCCCTCAGAAAGAGCAAAAACATACTCTTCAACAGTTCGAACATAGTTGAAGATGGCCTCGGGCAATAGAGCCGACATCGGGCACTTCGTGCCCTCAGGCCGGGCTCTTTTTCCCTCGGCCATCTTTCAACTATGTTCTAACTACTACAAAGTGTGCCCTTTACGCCCAATGGACAATCGCGCTAGTCTTTAAAACTGAAAAGATTATAAAGGTACTCACATATGTTCTTCTAGCATGATCATTTTGCATCAATGCATCCTTGTACGAAAAACTGCAAACCGTGATTTTAACGAATGGCAATATGACACTAATCATGACTAACGACAACGATTAAACGCCCATTTTCAGACTCCTCAATCTTTTGGAAAGATCAAATACCTTTTCGACCCTGGATCTTGTAGCAAAAGGGGACCAATTCGTTACAAGGTACAAGGTTCAACGGGAAGCATATAGTTAAAAAGATCCTAGTCCTTTCCCTTCAAGTTTTGCAAGACTGATCATTTGATAGTGTTTCGACTTGATAACACTGGCCAATCGCAAGCAGAACAACTTGATAAATTATTTTCGATGTCTTCGCAAATCCGTTTAAAAAAATTGCGTTTCTGTTAGATAAGTTTTCGTCAATATATCGGTATATATTTCAAGCTACTTTTATTCTCAACGTTCAATTTTCAGCTGATTAATTTTTCCGTTCAGCAAATAACCAGCTCTATCACACTTACATCATTGTAAGACAGCCATCGCACTGATCCATTGCAAATGGTTCCCAAACAGTTTTTGGCTCCACTTTTAGCGACTCCTCGTCTGAACAACTCAGTGACTGTCTTCTTCGGCAGATCAAACGCACTTTCAAGCAACTGTGTGCCATTTTCAGTCCCATGTGCGACTCTTATTCTCTCGCTACCAGGTAGCATAATGCTCTGGTTGTCGAATGAGAAGCCCTCCTCGTTGACTTCGGCAGGTGGACGAGGAGTTGTATCCTTGCCGTATCCGTTGTCAACGTTAGACGTCGCCATCTCAAACTTAAAAAGTTGTTACTCAGGTAATTCCTGAACATTTCTTAGAATATAACAAAAATGATAAATCGTTTAAATTTTTCGAGTGAACCAACATAATATCGCCAAAATTTGGTCAAATTGGACTCCGCATACTATACGGCGCCCCAGTTAAGACAAGGATAGGCAGTTGCTGCGCAAGTAGCACAGAATGTTCCAACCACATTCGTAAAATGTTTTATCTTCAAATTAGCGTCGCTTCTTCTGCGTGGAGGGATATTAGAGCTTTACAAACGCGTAGATCGTTGACTAGGCATAAAACACTGCAATTATCTTCAAAAAGTAAGTTGCACTTCGCATACAGAGGCAAAAATATGACCGATCACGCTACTCGGAAAAACAGAATGAGTAAAGCTTTGCGCCTACAAAACTTCTTAAGTGATGCACGCCAATTATGAGTCTACATAGTTGCTAGGTGACGCAAGCCACTTATGACGCATTAGCAGTACCAGTCAATTTGAAAAAAAAAAGAAATTTACCAACTAACATGCCTCAATGTATGGAGCGGACGCCTTTTAACTAGTATACGAAAAAATTCATTAAAAACATCCGACCCTGCCCAGGTTCAAACCCTCTTATTTTGTGGCCGGTCTCCTTCCCTACCTCTACACTACAGATCCCTGAAAAAATGATACCTTGCAGCTAAAGCGCTATTTGTTATAAATTACTCTGTGTTAATATCCTTAGCATTGGCTGTACTTAATAGCTGGTTATTGATCAAAATGAACACTTTTATTCTGTCGCAACAAAATAAAGAAAGTTCATACTATAACACAAGCTTTGCTTGTGTGCAAAACGATTTAAAAAATCCAAATTTTTTGAACTAAAATTTTTAAATTTATATGAAAATCTATATGGCCGAAAAAGAAAACAAAATTTTTTAAAAGAAAACAAAATTTTTATCACCTTAAACGGCTAATATTTATATATAATGAACGTTCCTCGATTGCTTTACTAGCCCGAGTTTTTAAATGTCGTTCAAATCACGACCAAAGGGCTTTAGCATGATATATCACTCGACCCATTCCGCTAATTATTTAAGGTACCTGATTTAGCGCGAGAAAAAAGTTAAAACACACGCGAATACGAAGTTCCTCCACATTTTTCAAATGGTCGGAACAATAACAGCAAATAAGTCTGTATTTTTGCAACTTAACAGCTGCCTACGAAACTTTATCCAGATTATCATATTGGGGATAATGTGATTTTTTTTAAAGGTAATCAGAAGGTCAAAAGTATCATAGTAACCGAGGTTACAGTCATGAGTCCCTTCATCATGTATTCCAGTCAAAATCCTTGGAAATTTTTAGATATGGAAGTGATAATGATAAAAGAAGATGACAAGTGTTTAAGTCCTTTTCAATTAAAATCGATACGGGTTACGTTTCTTCAATAAGAACACGCAACTCGACACGAGATATAATATACAAGTGTTACAAGTAAAAAATTTCGTCGAAAGTTATTTTGTCATTTATTGTTCTGTGTACGCAGGCGGCTTTCGCAATCTGTATTGCCAGGGAGATTCTCTGTTTTAAAAAGCTGCCTGCTCTGGGTTCCTCAGTGCATATGCTTAGGTTCTTATAAAGCTTGCTCAAAAATACTTCTGTGCTGGGGCCGGCCGCGCCCTGAATTTCGAAAGCTAGCGGTTGAAAAAGATATCCATCATTTACAAGATCTTTATACTTGTCAATTTTTCGCTCTTCCGCTTCAGCGGCAGCCGTACCAGGGTTACAAACAGACCCGGCATTAATCCTACAAGGAGCTAAGGAGTCTACTACCGTTACATCCCACAAGAGCTGCTTACCATTAGGCCCATGGAACGCGCGTCAAACCGTCTGGTCGCTTCTGATCGGTCCTGTAGAGGTGTCGTGGTTCTAAAACAGACGGAATGTGAGTAGATGATAGACTCTGCTTTATAAGGGCATTCAGGTTTGAATGCCTAGAGAATCTCCCTGCACTTTTGAGGCAAGAAAGACCATACCAACCATCCTCGGTAACGTCTTTTCCGCACACGCATTTATGCCGTTCGCATATTTTTGATCCTAATCGAAGTCCTATCGCAATTTTGAGTAGTTGCTTCGACAGTTTTAACCTTAAATTTTTGCACGGGATGACGTTCAACCATTGGGAGCCAAATCTATCTTGGAACGCGTTGAACCTTTTTACGTCCGTTGGTTCGAGTCGTAAAATCAAGTCTGCAATTTCGCTGTCAAAAATTGGCTCCGTCCAATTTTTTTGGATTTCATTTTCCGGAGCCATTTCAATTTTTCCAAGGTCAAACCACCGTTTAAGCGCATCATCATAGGTTCCATCCACATGCTCCAAACCGAAGATTTCGCTCAAGGCATCTTTCGCTTCTACTGCTGAGGCTAAGAAAGCGGGTAAAGCGAGTAGACGAGCGGAAGAAACGCCCAAGCCACTTTTGGCTGCCGGGAGAACTGCTTGTAAAAACTGGTTATCATCCATTTTCACGTTAGTGACCTTGCATAACGAATTTCTTAGTAATTTATCGTAACGTTCCAAAAAATCATTTTGCAAAAAAACAAGGGCTCGTACGCAAAAACTATAGGAGTTTTGGCATGCTAAAGCAATTTTTCAGGAGGTAAAAACCATAATGGGCGTCTAGTTTGTCAATGACACCCGAGACTTTTTCAAGTTCCTTTATTTTTTCGTCGAGCAATTTTTTTCGGTAAAGTTCGCCGATTGGAGATCCTAAAATGAGGAGTTCTTCTTTTGTTTTTATTTTTATTTTGGGGCATATTTTTCGAAATTGTGTTAAAATTGAATTATACTGTGTACTAGTAGTCGGTCCCAAAAAACAAAGTTCACACTTCTCAGTGTTTAAGCTCAGGCCGTAAATTTGTTCCGATTTCAGAATGTTTTTAAGGTCCCGTAGTACTACCTTATAGTCGTCGGCTAAATTCCCATCATCTAAATACCAGATGTTAATTTTCGACTCCAACTGTTTGACTAGTGTATGAATTGTTTCCGCAAAAAGGGGTTGGGCTTCAGGATCACCTTGCTGAGTTCCGTCTTCTGACATTATGACAGAGCTTCCGTAAAAAAGGTAACTAGGTTTACCATACGCGCAATGGGTGTAATTATACAATTCGGGGCGATTTGAATAAACATGATTCAGCATTGTTTCTCTGTTTAAAGAGTTAAAGGCATTCTTAAAATCTCGCTTTAAAAGAACAGTGCATTTTGGATTGTCGTCGCGTTCAATTAGGTTTCGAAACGAGTGCGCAGCTATTTCTGCTCCTCGTTTGGTACCGCATCCTACCTGTACGTTTCCGAAAAAATTTTGTCGCTTCTGTACGTTTCCGAAAAAATACAGACTTATTTGCTGTTATTGTTCCGACCATTTGAAAAATGTGGAGGAACTTCGTATTCGCGTGTGTTTTAACTTTAAATTTGGAAAAAAGTTAAAACACACGCGAATACGAAGTTCCTCCACATTTTTCAAATGGTCGGAACAATAACAGCAAATAAGTCTGTATTTTTGCAACTTAACAGGTGCCTACGAAACTTTATCCAGATTATCATATTGGGGATAATGTGATTTTTTTAAAGGTAATCAGAAGGTCAAAAGTATCATAGTAACCGAGGTTACAGTCATGAGTCCCTTCATCATGTATTCCAGTCAAAATCCTTGGAAATTTTTAGATATGGAAGTGATAATGATAAAAGAAGATGACAAGTGTTTAAGTCCTTTTCAATTAAAATCGATACGGGTTACGTTTCTTCAATAAGAACACGCAACTCGACACGAGATATAATATACAAGTTTTACAAGTAAAAAATTTCGTCGAAAGTTATTTTGTCATTTATTGTTCTGAGTACGCAAGCGGCTTTCGCAATCTGTATTGCCAGGGAGATTCTCTGTTTTAAAAAGCTGCCTGCTCTGGGTTCCTCAGTGCATATGCTTAGGTTCTTATAAAGCTTGCTCAAAAATACTTCTGTGCTGGGGCCGGCCGCGCCCTGAATTTCGAAAGCTAGCGGTTGAAAAAGATATCCATCATTTACAAGATCTTTATACTTGTCAATTTTTCGCTCTTCCGCTTCAGCGGCAGCCGTACCAGGGTTACAAACAGACCCGGCAGTAATCCTACAAGGAGCTAAGGAGTCTACTACCGTTACATCCCACAAGAGCTGCTTACCATTAGGCCCATGGAACGAGCGTCAAACCGTCTGGTCGCTTCTGATCGGTCCTGTAGAGGTGTCGTGGTTCTAAAACAGACGGAATGTGAGTAGATGATAGACTCTGCTTTATAAGGGCATTCAGGTTTGAATGCCTAGAGAATCTCCCTGCACTTTTGAGGCAAGAAAGACCATACCAACCATCCTCGGTAACGTCTTTTCCGCACACGCATTTATGCCGTTCGCATATTTTTGATCCTAATCGAAGTCCTATCGCAATTTTGAGTAGTTGGTTCGACAGTTTTAACCTTAAATTTTTGCACGGGATGACGTTCAACCATTGGGAGCCAAATCTATCTTGGAACGCGTTGAACCTTTTTACGTCCGTTGGTTCGAGTCGTAAAATCAAGTCTGCAATTTCGCTGTCAAAAATTGGCTCCGTCCAATTTTTTTGGATTTCATTTTCCGGAGCCATTTCAATTTTTCCAAGGTCAAACCACCGTTTAAGCGCATCATCATAGGTTCCATCCACATGCTCCAAACCGAAGATTTCGCTCAAGGCATCTTTCGCTCCTACTGCTGAGGCTAAGAAAGCGGGTAAAGCGAGTAGACGAGCGGAAGAAACGCCCAAGCCACCTTTGGCTGCCGGGAGAACTGCTTGTAAAAACTGGTTATCATCCATTTTCACGTTAGTGACCTTGCATAACGAATTTCTTAGTAATTTATCGTAACGTTCCAAAAAATCATTTTGCAAAAAAACAAGGGCTCGTACGCAAAAACTATAGGAGTTTTGGCATGCTAAAGCAATTTTTCAGGAGGTAAA